AATAACAAGTTTTGAAGCAGCCCAATAGAATCAAGGTACCTGTATGAAGAAAAAAAAATGAAATTTAAATGACGCAGGTAGACCCCCTCCCCCAGTATCCTCTCCTTTTCATATGGCGCCTCGCTCGCGCTCGAGTTGTACAGTATTTTTCATTCGAATGCAAACTGTTTTGGCTGCTCCACGCCATAGTATAACAGTATAAGTAACCTCGGCTATGAAACTGATAAAGGTGCACTAGCCCGGTTGACGAACGACTACATTTTCGTAACGTAATGAATGGATCGGTTTTTAATGAAAATTATATTTTTGTCGAGAATCATGGCTTACGCCTGCTTACGAAATGTGTTTCCTAAGCTAGGGTTTTACGCTTGAGGTCACCAATGTAAGGTGAGAGGCGACGGTTTAACAAGCTACGCCTGTAATAAGTCAGTGCCCCCTTTTCGTGACTCGTATACAGTATTCCTAATGCCTTGATATCACTCTCAACACTACTGTTTCGATCAAATTGGCTTCCTGAGTATATTATTAGCGGGTGTTTTGTCGCGGTATCCCGACAGTTTCTCAAAATCGATAGAAATCTATACCCGATACTTAAACTACTGTGATTATCGATTTCGATCGATTAATTTGCTTAGTCCGTTGATTATTATCGATTGAAATCGAGTAATATCGATTTATCAATTAGGTTTCCAATGATCGATTTCGATCGATGCGTTACGTCCCGTCTAAAGAAAAGTCACGTCGACGAGTTTACCCCGCAAAGTGCACGACTGCAATGTCTTTTTTGTCTGAAACTTTATTTTGTCTTCACTCTTTGCCGAAAAGTAACACCGAATTATCATTAAAAAGCAGATTTCAAAGAAAAGACCAAAGTCCTGATGTGATCATCAGTTTTACGCTTATACTTAGCCCGCAGAACAGGATTTTCCGTGGTTTTTGGCAAAGTTCCAGTAACATGCGCGTGAAAGGAGAAGCGAAAAATATTGCGTGTACGGCACACAGAGTTGCATTGTGGTGTGAGCTGAGTGTTGCAATGTTTGCGTTGAAAAGATATATACATTTGGCTGGACCTCTATAAGAAAGATATTAAGAGGTCCCTGTAAGACTTTCTACGACATTGTCATCCATAATTGGACCATAACCAAAGACGAATATAAAAGAAAAAAATATCTGCTGGAGTCTTTGTGTGATCTCGTGAGCTGTCACCCTCTTCCCTGGCGTGAACAAACCATGACAACCATCATGCCTGTCACACATCACACAACAACGCGATTTGAGACGTCACGTGACCGATGTGGTCGCCCGACTTCACGAGATTTGTTTGGGCTCAGAAAATAAAGCGAACTGAGGGGATAATGGACGCGTATATCGGATACCATGAGCACAGCCGTCAGAGATTTCATACTGCATGACATAGATATCAGTTGAGATCGTTCACAAGAGGCTCGGGATATGGGAGACATGTCGACAGAAAGATCGCCGAGAGGGAGACCAAGGAAAATTTCCGAGAACGTTCGCGAACTGCACGCTGTACTGACAAGAGTACTCAACAACGAAGATCGAACGTTTTTAATTCAATCACTAAACCAATATCAAAGAGAAAAGAATGTCAACAATCTTGTGGCATCTCTCAAGTCAGTCCTCGATACACCAAGAAAGAGAGAAGTATACCCACTGTTACGGCAAATTATTCCCCATCATGACCAAGAAATTTTCTGTAGACTTTGGGTGCACAGTTTCGAAGCCCGCCAACGTTCGAAGTCACCCGGTCGATCGCCGGTGAGTCTACGCAGGATTCCCACCTCATCGAGTCTTCCGGACAATCTTCATAGGCACGCATCGGATTCAGGGATAGATCTTCCAAATTTAACGCAATACCCTTCTTCGCGGGACGTGAAGTATCCCATCAAGCGAATAACCGTAAAGCGGCCTTCAAGCGCTGGATTTGGCTTTTGCATTCGCGGAGGAGCCGAACATGGCGTTGGTTTGTATGTGTCCTCCGTGGACGAGAACTCCGTTGCTGAAAGGGAAGGCCTTTTACCCGGAGATCATATCTTTCAAGTTAATGGGACCAAATTTGACGGACTTACACACGCGCAAGCTGTCAAGGTAACATAAGAAAATTCGCTAATGCAGTAAACTTCATCATTTTAGGTTGTGCAAAATTTGTTCATTGGCGTATTAAATCATATAAATTATGGCCACCTGGAAACCGTTTATATATCTGGGCATTTACTTGATTTTATTTATCAGCACTTCCCTCTGGAGTCGTCTGAGGAATTCTAAAGATGGAATTATTGGGTATTGAAAAGAATTCTACGGCTTCTGCTGAAGTTCGGGGGCGGTTTTTGTGTTTACCAGCACAAGGTGTAGTATTTATAATCAACATTTAGTCTTACACTTTGTGAAGTACTTAGCCGATTCCCGCCACGCTGATTTGAAAGAGCTTATTCCTCTTGGTAAGCTAAATGTAGGTCGCTGTTTAGGATATATTCAGATGAACTAACTGTACTTTCTTCACTTGTAGTTTGACATGTTTTCGAATGCGTTCTTTACACCATTGTGCTTCAATGACTTGTCTGTTTTCATTGAGATAGTGTTTGTTTTGCTGTTCGAGTTAAGTGAAAACCCACAAAAACGTGATATAACTTCACAAGTTTGTTGGGATCTGTTTCTATTTCTTTGTCACTCCCTATGGCTTCCGTACGTGTTTGTGATGTCAATTAATTGGCGTGCATGAAAATTAGTAACTTGAGAATTTTTTAATTCTTTGATCGAATGTTTTACGACATAAGTAAAGCATAGCAGACTGTTTCCCATGGATGCTACTGTAATATCGCATGAGTTGCACATTTTAACCTTGCCAACACATACATGTATGTGTCAAAATATTTTAAATTTGCCAAGACAAATTATGCCTGCATGCTTTGAGATACATGTAAAAGAGTATGAAAAAATCAGACTAAATTTCTGTTGTCTACATATAAATTATTATTAAAAACTGGATCATTGGATAATGTAATTTGAGAATTTTCATTGGCTGAGCCATCACGGATTATGAGCCATCATTATACCATACTCTACAAATATGTAAGCATATGCATGATTTTTTGGGACGTTTTTATCCTTATTTTAGTTTAGTTTCTATATTTTGGGGGTGTTCTCAATAAAACAATAATAATAATTATTATTGATGTGAAGTTTATATGAAATAATTCATATATGAACTGCGGTTGTATATGAAAGTGAAGAATGACCATCACAGTTAATTTTCCAATTTAAGCAATTGGAAAGAAGAAGCCTGAAAAAATCAGGGCTTCAACGGGATTCGAACCCGTGACCTCCGTGAATACCGGTGCAATGCTCTACCAACTGAGCTATGAAGCCACACATTGGGAGCGAGGTCAATTTATTGAAAAATTTATTGGAAAATTAACTGCGATGATCATTCTTCCCTTCCTTTAATAATAATTATTATTATTGCACTTGCACTTGTTGGATATGTGATGCTAATAGCCAACGTGGCACTACGCGCCTACCATCTCATATTCAATGCATGCTCTTGGAATGATTGTTACATGATCAACATCCTCCATAAATTTTAACAGATTCATATGTCATAGACATGGATACTACTCAAATTAAAGGGACACAGTCAGCTTTGAGACTGCACTGACCTGGACACTCGTTTTCTCACTTTGAAAAAAGTTCACCTCAACCTGAAATCAAAGTACATCTAGAAATCTAGTTCAATGTTCACAGTGTTTTGCTTGATTTTCAATCATTTACTGAAAAACCTGTTTTTGAGTGTGCTTTTGCTCATCCTATGATATTATTTTTATTATATTTGGTTAAAAACAGTATGGATCGCGTCTCTGTGATATGCAAATTAGCGAAGAAATGGTATCTAATGCGCATGTGCTCCAGCTGACTGTGTCCCTTTAATTCAGAAATCATGTTTGTCTTTTTGTCACTTTTCACCTGTGACAACATAAAGCCCTCGTCACACATGCATATGCCCCTGACCTTTGTTACCCTCAACATTGAAATGGCAACATTAATGGTTTAATACTCAAGTGTTTCACTGAAAACTATGGACTTGTTTTGAATATACCCTTGTGGAGTTAAATTCACTCCAGATCAGCAGAACAAAGCATTCTCAACTAAAAGCCTGAATAAGCTTTGTACACTGCCTGCTAATATTCAAAGATAGTTGATTATTTAATAATTTGTAAAATGCATTTTCAAATAAGGCCTAAGGCACTTATCAGAATGGGGGCACTTACTGGAGTAGGGGGGCATTTATTGCAAAAGGGAAAAAAAACCTTTTACTGGGGGGCGTTAAATTGAGGGAGATGCTTTTTGGAAGGAGTATGCTAAGTCACATCACTATAATGGTGCAAATATTTGGTTCTTTTTGTATATGGAGCATGTATCTTTTCAGTCAAATCAGAAAGGGGAGTAATCATTAGAAAACCAAAAATATTATTTGCATCAAACTGATATTTACCAATGTCTTGCTTAAATTTTATTCCATTTTCTTCACAGATTATTCAAACCAGCAAGAAGCTCAATCTAATTGTGCGCTCAGTAGGCCGTGTTCCAGTAAGCTTTGTTGCTGAGGCAACTTGCAAATGGGTGGACATGAGAGGTCGAAGAGCATCGCCACCCCCTGGAGTGGACTCAAATGGACGCATCTTGACTGCTGATGGCATACATAAAAGTGATTTAAGACTATTAGGAGATGACGATGAAAGAAAGGTTTGTGAGAATTAGTTATTTGAATTACAATGTACTTATATTAAGAACCTGCTATCACTTTTATTATCCTTGTCACTCTGAATCATTGTTTTTCATGATTATTTGTAGGTGAACATATTTGTAGAAGATGGCACAAAGCTGGGTCTGATGATTCGTGGTGGCTCTGAATATGGACTAGGAATCTATATAGCAGGAGTAGACCCTGATGGTATGGCTGAGGAAGCAGGACTCAAGGTTAGCTTTTAAAATCATAAATCAATATTTATATCTCCGTACAGTAGCATGCTGATCTACTATTGACTTAAAACATGGAAACGTAACAAACTCTTAAAATCTAGGACATTCAACAATATTGTGCAGTTGCAAAAAGCTACATGTATTTATTAGTATCACTGAGAAAATCATCTCAGTGGGATTGGCTGAGAGCAGATCAATTCATCGTCAATTTTTAATGTGCACTGCAGTGTAAATAAAGGCACCCGTGTTTGTAATTTCTCACTCATATATAATAAATGACTTATTGTATGAAAGTTTGAGCAATTAAGGATTTGCACTACAAGTGATCTTTGTACTAAATTCTTTTGAAATAATACACTTGCCTACGGGTTTGTGCAATTTTCAGAAAATTTTCAAATCACTTGTAGTGTAAATCCTTAATTGCACTCCCAATCATACTGGACTCAATGTCAATGAGTAGATTTGAAGTGTATTGGTCCCACTAGGAAACGTAACCTCTTGACTACATACCCACACTGTCAGAAGAGACTTTTTTAAATACCTTGAAATTTGATATGTAGACAAACAGTTGGTCAATAATTGAACGATGATTCTTTTTCCAACAGTTTCTTTACTTTTTACAGCTATGAAGTTGTTTCTTCTAGTGATATCAGAAATGCTATTTTACACATTCTCTTGGTGATATTTCCTATAAAAAAAAAAAGGAATTTGGAAAAGCTCAAAATGCCAAGCATATCAAAGGATTACTAAGACTTTTTTTTCAAGTCACTAACATAATTGAAAACGTACACTACACCCTGAACCCATGCTCCCCTTCTAGTTACAGCCTTGACTGTCCTGAGACAAAGACAGTAAAGGTTCAAACTTGTTCCAAAAACCCTGTAGTTTCCCCAAATTACTCTTTCCAACTTACACACTATTATTTCACAAAAAGAAGGCGGCTCAGAAATTGAAATAGCCAGTTCAGTTTTTAGCCGGCAGCTGGCACTTAATGAGAACCCCGAAAAAGTGTTTATGTAAATGTTTGTTTATCCAGCACAGATAATCAGTGGCCTAGATAACTAAAGTAAGCTCCAGATGGTTACGTAGTTTTCTAGCCGTCATTTTGGTATACTGTGGAGAGACACCGAATATGGTGGCTCCATACTGGGCTCTGTAAATTTGTTCACAACATTTCAGCAAATATCTGAAGTTTGGGACAATGCATGTGCCTAAAACTTTGGGGAGTGTCTTCTTTGTTTATCTTCTATAATATCACAAACCCTAACTGACTTTTGTTGTCCATTTAAATTTTTATTGCATGACAGTGAAAATGCTTTATATACAAATTTTAAGTCATTACATAATTAATTTTATATATTCTTTTAAGGTATTGTGAACTATCCTAATGCATGTTCATTTAATTGTTGATGTTTCTTTACATATATATTTTTTTTTTTTTGCCAAGGCTGGTGATCAAATCTTGGATGTAAATGGGCTAAGTTTTCTAAACATCAGTCATAAAAAGGCAGTGAAGGTGTTAAAATCTACCAAGAACATGATATTAACCCTGAAAGACATTGGCAGGCTGCCATTCACCAGGGTCACTCATGACAAAACAAAATGGATTGCAAAATCAGCTAAAAATGGACAAATACAACGGTAGGTCGTCACATCCATAAATATTGCATATGCATTGTAACTGTTACATGACACCATTAATTCTCTCTCATGAAAACTGATGCGTGGACCTTAGTAGCAGTTAACATAGACTTGGCAACTACATGTACATAGTTCCTGAGTTAATTTACTTTCTAAAGGCAGGCAAGTAAAGCATTAGTCTTGCCTAGTTTATTACTAACTGTAAAGGTTGAGGAGGTTTAAAAAGTAACCACTATATGAAAATTAACTTGGATTGAAGCTGGTGTTTCAAATGGACATCACTGTGTACTGTGAATAAAGTTCAATTTACGTTTACATCATTTTTATTGATTTTATATAAGTCCTGTTAATTTTACAATTTCAGTTACAGATATATATTGGTCACGTGTAGTGTTAAATGAAAAGCCATCATGTAGGGTCACCTTAGGTTGCAAGAGTGAATCTTAACTGCATTTCTTTGATTATACAAAGTAAATTAAATTAACAAAAGATCCAGATCAGTACTTCATATTCAAACTTCAAGATTTCCTGTTTTAACCCTTGTGGTAAAGCTAGCTTTACTGTAGTCGATTTAAAAATGAATTTGATTTGAAATAAACCTGTGGCAATGTTGCCCTTTCATAAATTGATACGTCCTATGTGACTGCTATTTGTAGCCTTCTGGAACAGGTTTCATTAAGCAAGGGTCAATGAGAATATTTTAGTTTTAGTTTAAACAAACTGTTCACTTCTTAACCTCGTGCCTAATAGAATATTAATGGAGCCTCCTTGGTCAATGCAATCTCCCCTAAAGTATTGCAGCATGGTCTTAAAAAAAAACTCACTAATAATTCATAAAGGAAATACAAAAGAACTGAATGTTTAATGGGTGATTTTAAATTTGATAAAGACACGGCTAAATTTTGCAGTCGATTTTCTCCAGAAAAATAATAATAAACCCAAGGGTTATTCTACAAATGAGTAGATCTACACAAACGTTTTCAAAGCTGTTCAAAAAACTCACAGCATGTCTTTTATCAGGTTTAAAACACTTGGCTATGTCTGGTGTTTTTTCTGCACCACAGATGTGGGCTTACTCTTAAATCTTCCATGCACTTACTATCTTTGTCTCTATCTTTTCTAGTATCTTTAAAGGGAAATGACAATACGTATATTACATGTACACTGTCGCCAGTGCTGTTCATCTTTTTTCAAAACCATGCACCCATCTAGGGTTTTGCATACTCACTCACTTTAAAGTCTAGTTTTGCAATTGAAACTATTTGTCTTGATGAGAAGGATTTTGTTTGAAGTAGCACATGTAACTCACAATATTTCTTCTCTATTTCACTCTATGCACATATTAAATCTGTCATCAAAGCAGTGTTCCTGAAGTCACTCATATTACAGAAGTTGATGTGCATACACTCTCTGGCTCTGCCCTACAAGGCCAACCATCTCTATCTAATAGGTAGTCTGCTCTTTCATTTGTGTGTCATTCTCTGTACGTATTGTAAGGTATTATAGAGTAACTTCATTGCTTAAGAGCATTTAAGATTTATTTACGTTTAGTTACAGAATTTACATTGATTGATGGATTGTTGTTAATTAGACTACCTTTTCAATGCTTTTCAACTGGAATTTTCTTACATATTTTGTGTTATTTGGCAATGTTTAAATCAAAAAGTTGTTTTACAAGATTTGGTGTGATTTCAATCTTTTAAGCCGGTAACAGGTGTTCTCTTTTTTACGTGTCACTGGCAATTTTTGTGATCACCCACAATGCTTATTTAAACATATTCTTAAGGGAGCTCATTAGCATTTGTTTTTTGTTGTTGTTGTTGTTGTTTTGGGTTGTTTGTTTTGGTTTTTCTTATTAATTGGACTGTTCTCATAATATTCTATGTGTATTTTATTATTTAACTCAAAGAAGTAATATTTTGGGAATTGCAGTGGAAATTAAGTAGGCTATACAGCTAGGATTTACATGTCTGTGTAATCACAATATGTTAAAATGAATTGGGACACACATGACATTATTCTGATTCTGGAAGTTTGATCTCCAAGCTCTAACAGTTTTTTTTTTTTTTTGCTTTGTTGTTCAATAAATGTAATTTCAATAAGGCGGCATACAACAACAGGAAGAATGGGACCTGAAGCTGAAACAGAGGTGAGTATATACATATATGCTGCCAGTTTCCACAAGTTATCAACTTCCCATTTCTCCTTACAACATCTGCATGGGTCACATAGCCTTGCTTTTCTATGTATATTCTAGATTCGCAGCACTTTGTTGATTTATGTATAAACAAATTTATGGTGGTAGTTAGTAAAATTAGTTTAGTCTAAAGTAAGTTAGTTAAGTTTGAGACTGAATGGGTTCAAAGAATGTGATCATTACCAGAACCAAACTGTTTAACATGAAATATTGTGTCTGCAAATACATGTACCCTTCAACTGCTTGGTGGCTCTATTGCACTAGCACACAACTCAAAGATTATACTAAGGTCCCCTTTACTTGCTGTAATTAACCAGGGAGTATTTTGTTTTGCTTTAGCCTTCCATGTTTCATCATGGCATTGCAGGATCTCAAGTACTCTATAATGGCGGCCTCCCTTCTCAAAAGAACTTAATAACAGAACAAGCTCGGCAAATCCTTAATGATAATGAGCTAGGAACCTTGAAGTACTACTTGGATGAGTATTGCAAGGGTTTCATCAACATCAATGCTTTTGTGCTGGCCTTGTTTGATCTGCTAGACACACCAGCCAAGGCAGGTTTTTGCACTTTCACAAATTCTTCTTTGAGTGTAGTTAGCAATTCAGGAGTCCTGTACTAGAATTGCGAATGAAATTTGAGATCATTATGAATCAATTGAATGCAAGTATGAGACTCCAATAAAACAGAACTTTATGGTTTGAGTTTTTGAGAGCAGTAGTAATTTACCGGTTGACTTCATTTCAGAATATTATGTACTCTTGTTGTAGGCAAATTTTGTAAAACTGCTTCTATTCTACATTATTCTAACAATTATTTTCTTAAATTACATATACTTGTACATGAACAAATTTGGCACTACTCTTTACTTTTTATGTAACCCTGAGTAAGATTTGAGATAACTTCCTTCAAGGATGACAATGTAAGATATTTGGTGCACTGTTTTGTTCTCTCTAAAAACAAGTGTAATTTTTCTTCCTATAGATGTCATTAACGTTCGAAATACGAGGTTCTGTGGCACCTAGAGATATTGATCAATTTGACGACTTAGTCCTCAAAAAAGAAATAGAAGTTATGAAGGTATGTTTACCTTAACTTCATGAAAATGATTTTTCACAATGTGTTTCATAAAAAATGAAATAAAAGCTGCAGTAAATCGTTAGTGTAGAGTTGCTAGTCCTTCGACAACACTAAAAGGTGGCAACCTTTCTTTTATAATCTATTTTAATTAATAGAGCTGTCAGTTTTTTGGAAACCATATGGCAGATGATAGGCAGTCCATTCACTCATATGCAAGCAGTGTCTCAAGTTATTCTGGAAGGGGATCTTCCTCAAGCCGAAGTTCAGCAAGAGTAAGAATTAAACATGTACAAGTGCTAATTTTGCTGTTGTTGCACCTGTAGTGTTGGAAATAACAAATGCTGAGAATGCATTATAATTGGTAGAAATTCTACAAAGTACACTGTAAGTAACGGTTGCATAGGACACACATGTCTGCACTGCAGTGAGCTTCAAATAATAAGCATTAAATGGCATGTCTTTTACTACACAGAACTTTCGTTATATGTAACAAAGAAAGCACAGAAACTACATTATGACAGGGATGAATCAGTTAATGATCTTTTCATTATGTAGCAAATTGAGAAATTATATTTTGTACTTCCAGGGAGAAGGGACGTCGAAATTAAAGCTAGCCAGGCGGGGTGAAAGGGGTTTTACAGTATTATTATTTAAGTAATAAATTGATTTTGTGTGTTTTTAGGGATCCCTGAATGGTGCTGGCTCACGTCCAATTACTCCCCCACAAGTGCCTGAAGTTTTGCCTCCAAACGTGAAAGTAAGAAGTGGATTGATTTGAGCTTAAGCTTATGACATAAAAAATCAATTTTGTTTGTCAAGCTAACTAGAGAGGGAAAAAATGTAACTGTTAGACCTTATCACGGTTTTGGAAGCCATCTTTTTCCGCGAAATGGCGCGAACTTGTAAGCCGCGTGCAAGTTCGAGGGAAAAATCGTAGACAAATGTAAGAAAAACTTATAAACGCGACGGTGCTATCCAAGCTTATCTAGATAGATAAGAAAACAAAAATGTGAAATTTGGTAATCAGCAAAGTTTGTAATCAGGAACTATTTCACAGACCTCTTGATTTGTCGTCTGTTGCATATTGTTTTAGCAAGCCCTTGAAAATCTTTGTCGTTTACATGCGGTTAGCAAACAAAAGGTTTATCAGCCTTAATAAGCTTTTAGCTGTTGTGAGAGCTTAGAGTAAAACTGAGCAAATTCTAAAGTTACCCAACTTTCTCATTTCTTTATCTTTAAGATTACAATAGCAGAGTAGGCTTAACATGCTCTTATTGGTGTTCTTTAAAGGAAACAACAAGAGCTAAAAAAAGCCATTCAGCTTCTAACGAAAAACACTAAGCTCTTCTACGTTACCTACCCCCCTCTGATGGAGAAACGTCGTACTGAGAGCGTGATTTCCCAAGCATTTTCAGCCATATATTCTGCCAGCCAGAATTTCAGTCCTCTCCTTGTGTCGCGTTATAGTTTGCACGTAAATGAGTGCGGCCATTGAAAATCATTTTCTTTCGACGAGCTCTTCGCGTCGCTCTTCGCCCAACGCGGGAAGGAAGGGCGGGAAAATACCTCGTCACTAGGCTGTCACTCGCTTTCCAGGTTCAGACTGATGAAAAGGTGCCTTCGATAAGTTTCGGATTTAAAAAGTTCTATGCAGTCCANACTTATGGGACTACTGTACCAGAGCTATCAATTGCGCTCTGCACTATCTGAGATTGTCTCACTAGTTATACTAATGTCTTTAGTTTGCTGTTACTTTGCACTAAACTTATTTTATGTTATCTTTTAAATTGTGCGATAGGTCGACTATGACGTTGCATCCCCTCCTTCAGAATATGATGTTTATGAGGCGACACTCACGTTCAAAGACGACCAGGAAGAGGTCTTTATGAGATGTTATCGATGTTATTTACTGATTCTTCTCTTTTGTTATCTACTAAGTTACCAAACTGCCGCCATAAACAGTTTCCTTGAGCACAACATTAGCTACCCTACGAAGCAGAATTTCACTTTCTCTTTGCTTGAAGCAAGGACTACAGACAATAAAGGAGACCTTACTCGTAGCTCTACCATTGACACAGCAAAGAAGTGGAAAACTAAAACCCTTTTCACACCAACATGTAAAGCATGTTTAAAAGTGGTTTAACTAAACACGGTTAACGGCAATTAGTTGCTCGTACCGTGCACACCCCACAACTTAACCAAGTACATGTAAAAACCTGTTTGATTAAAATATGTTAGCAAGGTGGTTCGAAATTTGTCTTCTCAAAATGACGGCAAAACGTAATCGTGAAATTTAAAAAACCGAAACCTAATTTGTTTAACTAGTTTAGTTGGTGTGAATGGGGTATAAAAAATACTTTATGTTTTCAACCAAGGAAGCACATGGAGTGCCGCCAGAATAAGAAATGCGCTGTCTTTAATAATATTCTTGTCATTAACTATTAAAGTAGTTATGTGGCTCTTACTGAATATTCCGTGACGTTTTAACAGACTTTTGACGACGGAGAGTTTGAGGGACTACCTGATTTGCTTACTATCAACCCGATGTCGTTGGACCTTTCTCCAGCTGAGGTAAGACCCAGTTTTCAATATCATCTCAGTATGTAGGTTATCAAAGACGAGAGACTGTGTTTAACCATATTTCCAAACAGCGAGAACACAGTTCAAAATATCTTTATATTAAATATCTAATATCTAATATTTGTAGTTAGCGTGGTTTTTTAATGGACTTACAGTATACGAGTTACCTTTGTTAATCTGAGCTCGTCTAGCAGGCGTTTGCCGATTACAATATAATGACAAATGAGATCTTTTCTGTCGACCAATGAGAAGTGAAACCATTCAGTTGTCATTTGATGCACGCGAAAATCCCCGCACTTACCATCGAAAAACATGTTTCGTTCTGAGTACTGACCGTGTTGGTTTTTGTGGTATCTGCGGAAATAATTATTTTTTCTCTAGTAAGCTAACTATGTAGGTAGTGATTAGAAACTCCGCGGTTTCTGGCGTTAGTTACATTGCTCATTTTTCAGGGATTTTCAGTCTCTTCGCCTCTCTACGTCCCAACTCCTCCCGCGACCTCCTCGCCAATGAATGAACCCCAAGAACAAGAATCACCAAGGAGGACGAAAGGAGAGTCAACAGCAAGTCTGCAAGTAGGAGACAATACGAGAAAGCAAAACTCAGGTGCTGAGGCTGACGAGTTTTCGAGAAAGGGAGTGAAGTCCTCCGGCAGTCACACCTATGTTAACACAGATGTGCAGTCTTTAGGGAAACGGCCTCCTTCATCTGAGTCACTTCAGCGGGACAAGAGTTCATCTGCTGATGTTCATCCGTCGAAGAAAAAATCCGAGAAACCACAATCACCGCCGAATCCATCTATTTTTCCAAGTACATTCCAGGGCAGTGTGATGGATACAGAAGTTGGGCGGCCTTATACAGCATTGTATGAACCAACACAACCAAGTAGCAGTACGAGCAGCTCGCCGCGAAATCACGTGATCACGCAAAGTGATGCTCAACCCAAACACGACGAAGGGAAACAAGATGTCGTCAGTGCAATACTAGATGACGACTTGAGACCAGAGGTGGCGAGATTACCAGGGAGGAAAAGGGTAGCATCCTGGGGCACACAACAGGACGAAAATGGACCTCTCACCAACGGGGATCACACTGATGGCGTTTCAAGCTCGAGGGGGTCGGAAAGCGCGGCTAGAGGTAGCAGCGCGATCGAGCACAACAAGGTTAATCTGCCGCACAACCAATTCTCTGACGTCAGCAGCGAGTCGTCGTCGCGCAGTGAAAGTCTTCGAAGTTCTGTGACGAAGAACAGGAAGAGTTGGGACGGTGTGCGATATCCTGGCGAGTCTGAAGAAGACCAGAAGGTCTCCCGTCTGGAAAGGCCACAAGATAACAAGGAACGGAGCTGTAGTGATAGCAACTTGATGGTAAGAAAACTTACAGTTAATCATCGACTACGGCGGTGGACTTGTGCGTGTTGAAAAAGAGCATTCTATTTGGTAATCATTTGCACATGCGCAGACCGCTGAGATGGACCAATCACGAATTGATTTTGTCGACTTGTCTCTTAAAACGTTTTGCAGAATAAAGCCGCTCTATCTTAAGTAGAAACCTTTCCTCCGTTCTCTGACAGATTAATTTGGTAAATTTCAACGAAACTGGCTTGAAAAATACGGGTAAGAATAGAACTGTACTCCACCAGCTTCATTGATTTTTCATTAGGGAAAGATTAGACTAAATTCCCGTTTTCTTTCGCAAGTTTGAGTAAAAAGTTGAAAACATGACATGCAATATTCTGTCCGGTACGGATCTCATGGTGATGTATAACTTATTTCTGGACTCCTAGAACCTGCCTAAAGAGCAGCAAAAAGTAATACAGGCGAAACACAAAGCAAGTCAAGAACTCTATGAACTTCACCAACAAAGTAAAACTAAGGTAAAAAAAAAAGCTTTTACCGTTGAGATTTTTTGTAGCCAGAAGTGCTACCTAATTTTGTAAGCGCACTTATAATTTTCTTTTTTTCCTTTTTCACAATCAGGGCAATCCTTCATATCAAATCGAAGCCACTACCTCGGAAACCAGAGATCGCTTGCAGACATCCCCCAAGACGAATGGGGTCGGTGAGTCGGTGTTTGTTGTGGAGGTTAATAAATCGTCAGGCAGTTTAGGTCTTACACTGGAAGGCGGCTCTGATACGGGAGGCGACGTAAAAATCAAATCAATCAAGGTGAGACTAACGCGTTTGATGATCGAGGGGAGTTTTAATTGTGGGGATGGGACTGGAACACGGGTAAAGGGAAGTAAATGTACAATGCCACGACACTGACAGGGTGGATAAGGTTGATATATGGCGTGTTTGTCTTACAGCCCATCAAAGAAATGTGGAAACCAATCTTTGCCGGAAAAATAACGTCGTCATCTTAATGTACATGCTGACAGCCAGCACTTGTTAGTACGATGTTATTGTTCTTGTTTAATCCATATTGGCGTGAAACACTCAGCTTATGTGGCGATGCACCTTTGCACATTAGCTTACCTCTGCGAATTGACATCGTTGTTATTGTTGCTGTTGTTTTTGTCGTATTCCTTTGGCTAGGTAACAAGCCAATCACGTAACGAAGGCGTCGAAGTGATATTAGCAAGCAGTGTTCAAGCAAAGATCAATGAACAAGTCTTTGACATAACATTGGAATTACTTTTTTTTGCTTATCTTCCACCGCTTCTCCCCTCCCCTCNCCCTCCCCCTTTTCCCTCCCTCCGCCTTTCCCCTCCCCTCCCTCCCCTCCAAACCCTCATCAATAATATAATGGTCCATTCCCAAGAACGTAGTACATGGATGGATTTTGCCTGTTACCACCACAGGGATGGGAAAGACATGAAGTGGTTATGAGGATGTTTCCGTGTAACCTCATATCGTTTCTTTCGTGTAGTTTATTTCGACTTATGATAGGCAACTTCAGGGAATGGCAAAAAGTCACTTACAAAGGAGAAGGATTGCGTGACAATGTCACGCCTATTTTTTAGACTTCTTCCTTTTGGGTCAAGCAGTCAAGCACTGTAGTAAAGTTCCAGTCATCCGCCCTGTTTCATTAATTTTGTTTTGCTGTATTGGAATTTACTTGGATTAAATTTATGAATGACTGTTGTTGTTCCACAGGAAGGTAATTTCGCTGCCTGGAAGTGTGGGATGTTAAAAGCAGGTCAGATTCTACTTCAAGTGGACGACATCCCACTTCGGGGTATGACCAGCGGCATAGCGGTCCTCACCTTGAGACATGCGTACTCCAGCCCGGACTCAGCAGTACTCAGGCTGCTTGTTCGAGACGTTTAAATGTGTAGTCATTTTGAACAACTAGGTTTCTTTCAAATTTGCTGTGAGCCATTTGTAGTATAGAGCCAAGCTCAAACGTCTTGCACTGTGCATATAAAATTTTCAAATGAAGACATACGTTTTTACCATAGCAAAATATGCATTCAAATGCTGTTTAAACCAGTCGGTGTGTGAATAAGTTAAATCTGTTGTGATATACCCTAGGAAAATTAAGTATATTTAATATATTTTTCCAACTTCATTGGCCTCGCCCCGTGTACATTCAAATGTCGAGAAGTTTTCTTTCTTCGTGACAAGTGTTGTCATTTGAGATATGACTCGTCTTTATATCTCTCTTGTGGGAGATGAGACCAGGACGCGAAGGGCAGCTGGAGATTATTCCAAGTTCATTTTCTTACTGTTCATTTGACACCACGGAAGGCAAGCAAAATTTTGTGAACGAATTTATTCCAAACAAACATAAATAAAAGTTCTGAAGACATGACTGATTCACTGTCGCGTCTTTCTTTGTTTATAATAACTAACAACAAGTCTAGTCTAACAGTGTTAAGGCACAACAAAAAATAATGTAGCTGTATATGAAGTGTTGCGCGGAAACGAGTGTTCTCCAAGTGATTGGTCATATTGGTGGTTTTTAAACCTTCTCGTTTTTGGCATTCTATCCAGCTGATACTGATGCCGGAATTGACGGATAATTTATTGGGTTTTATTGGGTGACTGAAGCGGCTGTAAACAAGCTGTACTGGGCTGGGGGAGAAAAGCTGAAATTCTAGTGTCTCTAATTCTAGGGCTGATTAGACTAATTCACTAGGTTCATTAACGGATAAGGAATTCAGGGAATTTCGAAAAGTTCACCAGGGGACGTGTTGCGGGCGGGACAAACCCTGTTGTGTATAGCCATAGGATGCATATTGCATGGACAGGGCACGAAGCGGATTGAGGCATAGAAGTAAGTTGTGGCGGGGAGATCTTGCAAGAACAGTGCAATCGATGCGACTTTGAAAATTAAGGTCATTTTGTCCCCAATTCGTTACGCATGAATTCGAAGTGACGGAATTTCCTCAGTGCAACATGTTACGGGAAAAAATTTATCCCCACAACAGAACTTCGGGTGTTACACGAAGAAAACTGGACGGGGGTCTCGCTTCAGGTCCCCGCAACATATATCCTAGTGTGTGCCGACCTTAAAGAATGGTGCTTCTTGAAAACCTGGCCAGAAGTCCGCTAGAGACTAACAAAATTGAACGAAGCAGCAGTCGTTAAAGTTTCTGGTAAAAACTATTTAATGTATATTTCAAATCATTTAATACTCGTGTCGTAACTAGTAGTATTTGACAAAACTAATATTTAAAGATACAAATTCAGGGCCTTATGTCACAACAACAAAAACCTATTAACAATTTACCCAGTACCCGTAAATTAAAGGCGCCGCAAGGAAATTTTTGTTAATTTTGATACACATTTACAAAACAGTTTCCCTGTCTACGACAAGCAGTTCAGTAAAAGAAGATTTTTCTGAATTGTTTTGGAATTTTTTCTCTGTTAAATTGCTTCTCTTAAGACAAATAAACATGAGTAAAATCAACAGTCCGACAGTCTCAATGCCACCCGCAGAGAAGAAAGTTGCATGATACGACTTGGTTTTGTCAGCAACCAAACCTGAAAAGAACGACACGAACGGTTGTAAGGTTACAATAACTATTACGACCTGTTAGAATTCGAGCCAAGTAGCCCAGCAGGCTGGCGCGTATCTTTGATTTCCGAAGCATGAAGCGACTAGAAGTATTTCTACTCCCACCCATGGATGGGATGCTAGTCTATCAGAGGGTTCCCCCCTGCACTGAATCCAATTAAACACCTGAGTGGAGAGAATCACTNCCCCCCCCCCCTCTCTTCCTAGATGTTCATTTTCCCTGATTTCAAGGGGGTTTGGTTTATTTTACTTCCCAAAAGCAGTTGTTCCAGCTGAAAGAAACGAGTCTCAAAATTAAGCTGCTTAATTCAAAATTAAAGAAAGAGGACAAGGGAAAACACAAGAAAATAAGTTAGCGGGGGAGAAGTTATCCATTACGAAGCTACTCAGACGTGCTACATCACAAGTCTGTATTCTTCATTTTATAGACTTTTGGCCAAATTTAATCTTGTTACAACTTGGAATTAAGGTATTCCACCTCTGAGGCTTACCTCCAATTGGTGGGCCGTACAAGAAAGCCGTGCTAATACACAACTGTTGAAAACCAAATCCTTGGGCTTTTTGTTTCTGTGTAAGGGTTTGCAAACCTGAAAGAATTATTCCAATCGTCATCAGGCCATCTGCAAGACCATAAGCTATGCAATAACAAAGAAGCCACATCCAGTTGGTTGCTAAGGGCAACATCATAGTCGCCACTGTAGCGACTGTCGCAAATATGAGGAACACTCTTGGAGGACTCATGACGTCACAAAGCTTGGAACCCAATATCCTGGCCACGAGACTTGCCAGTCCAATGGACGAATAAAGCCAGGTTACCAAGTCAGCGGCGATACCACGATCCTCACAGTACTGGGCCTAAGAAATGGGATGGAATATATTTGGATTGATTGTTTACTAGGACACAGTGAAACTACAGATAGGCTGATTGGTGGCTTCCACTTTAAAATTTTACTTATTATTCACTTTGTATGTGCAAAAAAGAGCGATCGTCCTATACAGGGAGATCAGTACCCTGGATGCCAGAGGGTTTTCCTACGCGGTTTCCGGTCGTGCTCTTGGCCAAGCCCAGAATTCTTTCCGTCGAAGGCTGACTTCGCTCGGTCTCCAGCCGATTCCAGAGCGAGTGAGAAAAAAAGGGCACTTATTTCCAGGGTAAGCAACTTTGCAATTCTCACCATGCTTTTAATTGCTTTAAATACCTATGAGTGCTCTAAATACGCTGTGACTATGAACTTTTGTCTCTCTCTTAATTCACTCATAGACTCATGGGGGCGATTCATGTTAGCTAATGGTGTCATTTGTTAGTACTTACGTCGTAAAATCTAACAAATCAATCAATTACTTACGAGAAGGACAGGAGGTATGGAGTGACCAATGTATACAAAAACACCTGTGATATTAAGGACGACAAAAGTGATATTTTTCCACATTGTCAAATCCAGAATTCGTCTGGAGTCTTCACTTTCTTGAACACTTTTTTCGGCTTGGTCGCTCGCCACATTAGGATCCAATGCCCAGCCGATGAAGAAAATGATGAAAACGATACAAGTCATGCCTCTAAAGGCTCCTCTCCAGCCAAATGCATCAATGAGAGCCTGGCACACTGGGCTCATTACAAGTAATCCAGCTCCCGTACTCATAGTTACTAACCCTGTGGCTAACGAACGTCGCTTCACAAAATACCGAGGCACAATCTCGAAAACGGCAATGTAAACGAGGCTTGAGCCACACCCAAAGATTCCTCCGTAAGTCAAAAGCATAAGATAAAGACTGGGAACTAAAGAAGTCAATAGGAGACCGATGGTGCTCAACACCGCTCCACTAATAACCACTGCGCGTGCGCCAAATCGGTCGGTGAGTCGTCCAGCTACGGGACCAAAAAGACCAGCGGATGCCACTGCCAGAGATCCAACCCATGCTGAAAGAGAAATGAGTGTTTTTACCACCCTGTCCCTAGTTCCAAGCGCGAGATTACACACGCACAATCGCTTAATTAGATCACCGTTGCTGTACCCACTCAGCTACGAGCCCATATGGGAAGAGGTCTTGGGTATTTTTGTGGTATATTTCTCTTCCTTCGAACAAGAGTCTTTGATGAGTCTTTGATCTATGGTCTCTTGCTTTGAAGCACATTTCTTACAGTCATTCCTATCGACTGAAAGACATCTGCATGAGCCGAAATGGTGTTGATCCAGTTATTGAGGAGTCACCCTCTAGCTTTCGTGAAATGATTTGTCTTTGCACACTACTCACTCTTGTTCCTCTGGTTAACTTTTCTTTAACTTTCCCTCCCCCGGCACTTAAATGCATCAGGCTTAAACTTCATGTAAGAAGAGACATTCAGCCTTTCTTATAATTAGGTATTTTGGCTTTTTATATTAGGAACTAGCTTAGTGTAGGTGTCATATATTAGTGCGGCTTTTTAGTCGAGCTAGAATTAGAATACTCTGGCACGTGGATAAAGCTAGATTGATTGATTTATTTACCTGTTTTGGATTTTCCTGCCTTAAACTCGTCAAGAAGAGAAGGAAAAATAATACCAAAGCAATACGTGCATCCAATTACGATGATGTTACAAGTGACTCCAGCCGCACACACTACCCAAGACCACCAAGTGTCTGGCTGTCGCAGTTTTCTCTTACTTGGTTCTCCTGTCTCTGTTGTGTCTTCAGTCTTCTTTAGATGAAGACAGGTTGTGCTTTTTACTTTCATTTTTACGGAATCGTTAAAGTCGCCAGGGAACTGTTTACAACGAAACAGGAAAGTAAGNTTTATTTACCTGTTTTGGATTTTCCTGCCTTAAACTCGTCAAGAAGAGAAGGAAAAATAATACCAAAGCAATACGTGCATCCAATTACGATGATGTTACAAGTGACTCCAGCCGCACACACGACCCAAGACCACCAAGTGTCTGGCTGTCGCAGTTTTCTCTTACTTGGTTGTCCTGTCTCTGTTGTGTCTTCAGTCTTCTTTAGATGAAGACAGGTTGTGCTTTTTACTTTCATTTTTACGGAATCGTTAAAGTCGCCAGGGAACTGTTTACAACGAAACAGGAAAGTAAGAAAAGGCCATTGCGTGTTTCTAGAAGCTAAGGTACTTTAGTTTTTCTGAGGTCAAATTAGCCCGGTCCTCACTCGGGACGCAAGCCTAAGGATAAACATAAGCATAAGAAGCTTATGTGCTGTTGAGGACGGCCGCGAAATAAGCATAAGCGTTCTTCTTATCTCTCTTATGCTTACGCTTATGTTTATGTTCAGTGAGGACATTGTTGGCGTAAGCATTAATTGCTCGCCGATTGGTTGATAGTAATACACTTATGCTAATGCCAACATGTCCTCACTGGACACAAGAGCGATAAAAGCATAGAAGAACGCAAGGTTTTAATATTCTTTTAAGCTTATGCTTATGATTATGTCGCGGCCGTCCTCATTAGCGAATAAACTTCTTTCATGCTTATGCTTATGCTTGCGTCGCTAGTGAGGACCAAGCTTCATTATCACGTGCCACACGTGCTAAACTGATTACATAATTGGGGCGCGATCGCGTGATTGCTTAGAACAACCGGCTCGCCACTCATGTGCCGAACGAAAGGAAATCTCTGGTCACCATAATCTGTCACCAGCAGTAAACGTAAATTGAATAGGGTCAGTTTTTTTCATCGACTTATTCTCCTTTTCCCTTTCTTTTACCAAACAGGGCACTTTCAAACTAACTTGGTAACTAGGGGCTTTTTAGACACAACAATGGTATACAATTGCTTGATCAACTTGAGAGTAAGTAAATATTGAACACACACTAAAGTATAAATATCGTGTATAAACATAGTGCTAGCTAATTCGCGTCCTTAATTATTACGTAACTGCAAAAACGTGAGGACTTTATGGGAGTTCTACGGCTCGTTACACGTAAGATAACTCAAAAATACTGCACTGCGGCTTAGAAATACAGCACAGAGACCTTGTTGATACCAGCAGTGCTGTTCGCCCGCCCGTCCGCCCTGTGCACGCGATGCAAAATAAAACGAAGGGCGCAGCATCCGTATTGTTTCCGTACAGTTTCTGGTATTTTGATAGCTCTTGAACCATTCCAAAACAACATTCGCCATAATTTCTCTCAAGAATCAGTATGGGGTTATGGACGAAACTGATGCTAGAAAATATACGGTTATGTTCCCTCTGTGTGCGTCAGTCTATTCGTTTCTTTGCTCAGGTTAGCCTTGTCTACAGTTCTCTGGTTTCTCTTTCAATTAAGATGGCGTTACTAAGAGACCGCGTTATTCATGGTTAGTGGACTCGTTTCAAAGGTAAGGTAAACTAGTCCCTTATAATTATATATTACCGCAAGAGTCTGCTCACCGTGCAACGCTGTCAGGTCCTGTCACAGCTGTAGTTGGAGCTTCTTCCGAAAACAACAAGAGAGCAGCACAAGATCCCGGCAAGACCGGCACCAACCTGCTCGTTACCGGTTTCATTTAAATAAAGAAAAACAATAACGCCTTCAAAACAGGAATGCTTTGTGGCTATATAGTAATGTAATTAAATACACCAAAACGTGAGAGGCATTTTGCTATAAATAACGCACACCTTCAACCTTATCCCAAATCATCTCCGGTGCTTTCATCAGGCTACAAATAACTGAGGCCCCGTCCACACGTGTCCGGATATTTTTTAATCCGCAACTTATTCTCTCCGGATTCAAAAATTTCCCCGTCCACACGTAGAAAAAATATCCTACGGC